GGCACTTTGAGGCAGAACAGAACGGAGTTTGCATTGCCTTCGCACGAAATGCCCAGACTTCTCCCATGATCGTTCGAAAAGCAAACAAGAACTCTCGGGTTTCGAGCTGCCTGTGACAAGGCTCCAGCGGAAGAGAAAAGAACGCCATATTCATCATGACCACGACGACTACTCTCTATCACTCTCTTTTACTTTGTTTTGCTTTGCTCGTTTACTCTCTTTCTTTCTTTCGCCAGGGCTATGGGCAAGAGGTTTACCCCCTTGCCCGCGCGCTTGTGCGCCCCCGACTGTTGCGGAGGTGAGCATTGCCAGTTTGCTACCCCCGGCTCTTGCAAGTGGAAAAAGGAACTCTCTCCGCTCAGCAACTGTAATCCAAGAAGCCACAACAGAAAAGGGCCTAGGGCAACAATGAAAGTAGCTACACTCGAGTTGCTGATTCGGGGGTGTTCCCCGTGAGAGGAGTTCGCATTCAAGTTGCCGGGTGCGAAAGAGGGGTCGGGTCGCAACTCAGCATAGTACAATAGGAAATGAAAGGACTGTAACAAGATGGTCTGCCTCAAGTGGACTAACCCTATTCACCCACGGTGGAAAGTGGACACTCGACCCTGGGCACGTCTCCCCACCCTTGTCAGGGTGCAATGTGACAAAGCTCTTTGCAGGCTTCGACCTGTCGCTTCGCTAACAGGCGGGCAGTTTGTCCTTGCGGAGAAATGTGAAAGAGGGTGACCAGCTGTTGAATTATGGGTCAAAAGGCTATGTTACAATGCCTCAGAGCGGAGGCTTTGGTTCGAGGAAACTGGAGGCTCAGCGGCCCGTCATATGCGTTTACCAGGCAGGATAGAAAGGGGTTGCCCCCGGTGCGTCTCTAGCAAAGACGGATGAAAAGCATGCCTGATTGGCACGCGTCAATGCACGCCGGTACCCTAAGAAAATGGGGGAAACCCCGAAGGCCGCAACCAGCGAGTCAACAAACCACCTTGAAGTTCCTGAACAAAGCGGCATCGGGCCTGGGGAAGTCCCCGTCATGAGAAAGTGGAAGGGGACTTTGTCCCCGCGTCAAAAAGCAGCTCACGAGCGCTTTCACTCCTCTCTTGTAGCCTGCTTTCGCCTCTTTGCTCTTTCCGCGTCTGGTTGCCACTCTTGCTTCCTCCTTTGCTCACGTCGTAGGTCTCGATATTCCTCCTTGGTAGCTTGCCTGTACGCGTTCCACTTGGCTGTGTCAGTGGGGTAAGCGTCCAGGTTGTAAGGGGACCTCCCTTCTGCATCACGCTGTTGCAAAAGTTGGTGTAGACGATGACGCTGTCGTGCCGAAAGTGTCGGGGCAGCCCCCGTCGGCGAAGGAGGAGCGGCACCGCCTGGGATCGGTCCTTCAGTGGTCGTGACACCATCATCAGCTTTAGCCTCCTCGTGCTCAAGTCTCGGCGTTGGTGGAGGCGGTGGCGGCGGCGGTGGAGGAGGTTGTCCGTCTCCAGCTGGTTCCTGTAGCCTGACTGCCTCCGCATCGTCGAATATATCAACCGAAGGATGTAGTCCACTCACCTGAAGGTAATCGGCAGCCTCTTCGGGCCCAGCTGCTGGCACTCCAAAGAAGATGTCAGTAGGTGCTGTCGCAGTTGCACCCGCGTGTTGTCCATCATTCATTTTTGGCTCGTGTGGAGGGGCCTCCAAGTCAGGCTGGTCGGGGGCCTCGGAATATCTGACGTCCACGGTCTGGTAGATGTCGAGAGTATTATTGTAGGAGTCTGCCGGGGGTTCACCCCGAAGGGGAGCCCGAAGAAACGACGTTGCCTGGGAACTTACCTCTGCTCCGGGCGTCGGCTCAGGTTCCTGTTCTCGTAGTTCAACCGCAGGTGGAAGTGTGTGTGCTGAGACCGTCGAAGCTGCAGGCGGGGGAACTGGCAGCTCCTGCTTGTTGCGGTGTAAGTCCTCGGAGCACGGTCGGTTCACGTAGGAGCGAGGAAGGAGTGGAAGTAGTAGAGGAGGTACAGGTGGTTGACGGAAGAGTCGACGTAGTACCATGGCCAGGGAAAGGAGGCGGCACCAAATCTGCCGGTGGGCTCGCAACGGCTCGTATTGGTGTGCTTCGGGTAGCCTGACCACGACCCTTCTGGATCTCCTGGGGGACTCCCCCCCGTGGGTTTCTAGCCTCCGGGCCCAGGATGTCCAGGAGGGAGTCCATCAAAGGGTCGTCCTCCTCGAGCTCATTGCAAATATTTGTGCCGGGAAGCTCCGTATCCACCTGTGCTGGTCTGACAGTGGTCGTCTGATCATTGCGTCGTCTGTGCTCCCTGCGTGGCTCCGGTGGAGGGGGCGGCGGCGTCACTGAGGAGCTAGAAGCCACAGACCTCAATGCTTCGTCACAGGCTAGCTCGATGTCTCTTTGAAGTAGTACTTGTTTAGCCTGAGCTGCACTCTGGAACTTCATGCCGAACATTGTGCAGTTAACCGCTTCTGGAACATGCTTGGTGTGACTCTTCTCGCCAAGCAGGCAGCGTCGACAGAGGGGTTTGCCCGTCTCAGGGGCAGCCCCCGGTGCTATAGTGGACAGCCCCGTCAGTAGAGAGCTCTTGGGCATAGCAGCGGTCGTAGAGCCGGGGGAAGCCTCCTTGGCCTTGATGGCTTCTTGGACTGCTTTCTCGATTTTTTGTTGTCTGAGGAAAGCCTGCACCTTTTTTGGCTCTGAGCTATCGCAACCGGCTAGAATGCAATTGGGTGCTTCACGGCGGTGGCCTCCATGATAGGAGGGGCCGTCACGGCACCGGATGCAGATAATGTCCTTTGCCGGGGCCTGATCCCCTGGCGCCGCCTCACTGCCTTCTCCAGGTGGGTCAGTGCCACGCGGCTCTGCATGCGGGGTTACCCCGCCCTCCATCGTAAGCAAAGGTATTATTCACAGCGTCCCTGCCAATATCACGATCGTGACCTTGGAGCAATCCCCGTTCGAGGAAGCTCTTGCGCCGGATCGTCTCGACGAGGTACCCCCCGAATAGGCTCGCCGATATCCTTCAGGTAGCAAGTCACAAACGGGGCAAGGGACAGGCAGTAGCGGCAGCGGTCACCCGTCAGGTCCGTAGACACCGAACTCGCAAAAGAGAACCTGGAAGGAGAAGTGCGCACGGATTTGCTTCGCGGACTCCCGCAATGCGTCGAAAGAGCGGGAGGAGTGAGCAGGAGAGAAGAGGCAAGTGTGTTGGTTGTCCTGTGTGGCACTGAGAAGAAGACGGAAGAAGAGGGGCTCACAGAGGGTGCCACACAGGCTTGAACCGCTCACGGCTTGAGCCCAAAAGTTTACTCTCTCTCTCTCTCTCTCTCTCTCTCTCTCTCTCTCTCTCTTCACTTCACTTCACTTCACAGGGGTCAGGCTCCAGGAGCCCGCGCCAAGGCGCCCCCTTTCCCCCTATGTTCGGTGGGAAGGGGCTTTGGGGCTGAAGTGCATGGGATTTTTTTCCCTATGGTCGGTTTGGCTGGTAGCGTCTGCCTGTCGGATATCCCCCCCTGACCCTGTACTTTAGCGCGCTTCCCGGCCTCGTCTCCGCGCTCTCTACAGCTAAGTCCTTAGCCCTACGACAGGCAGATACCCCCAGTAGTAACGACGGTCGGCATACACTTCCCCCTTGCAACAACGACAACAGCTAAGCCGAGGACGTTCTGGGGAAGTGTGTCTCTCTCTCTCTCTCGCTCTGTCTCTCGCACTTGCATGCAGACACGTGAAGTACAGACGCACCTCCCCGCCGCTCTCTCTCTCGCTCTCTCTCTCTCTCTCTCTCTCTCTCTCTCTCTCTCTCTCTCTCTCTCTCTCTCTCTCTCTCTCTCTCTCTCTCTCTCTCTCTCTCTCTCTCTCTCTCGGGCATGGGGACGGGTCAGCGCCCCCGGGCATCATGCCCACCCGTCGTATTGACGGACGCGGGGGGTGAAAAAGAACGGCGAACATCGTAAAGCTAAAGCCATAAAGTCTACGATAACGAAAAACAATGTTCCTCCGTTCTTTGGCAGACAAATTGCATATGCCAGATCCCCCGATAGGCGTACTAAAGAAAGCTTTTTCCCCCGAGAGATAATCACTATGCTACAAGATACTCGAGGGGATTTGTTGGCGATGCACGAAACTACAGCTGACTTCAGGCCAAGGCAGTACGAGGGTTTCTCTGCAAAACAAAGATACAGCACTCCCTATGGGCCTCGTGGCCATACCATACGTCACTAAACTTTGTCCTCGTTATCTGCCTTTTTCGCGCAAAAGTCGTAACAATCCCCCGGACCAGGAAGTGTAAGAAACAGGGCGCAACATGACGAACAAGTTCAACCTTAGCATGTAATTCCCCATATACCCCATATCTGTTGTTCAAGGCCAAGGAGAAAGTGTGTAGTATTCTCAGCGAGATGATGGACAGTCCCCCCAACGTTTTCAAATACATAGCATGAAAAGTCACTGAGTATTATCGTGGTACAAGATCGGATCACGACTTTCGTAGAAAAAAGCAATAGGGAACCAGATATCGAATCTAATACCACATAAAGAAATCTCTCTCTCTCTCTCTCTCTCTCTCTCTCTCTCTCTTTCTCCTGCTACTACTACTACTACTCCTCCTCCTGCTGCTGCTGCTACTAAGTATTGCTACTACTAAGTAATCCCTTCCCCCCCTCCCCTAATACAACATATAACCTGGATTTCGGGGCCGGAGGTTTTGCATTACGGGGCGGATTCAGGGCATCCGGGTATGAGTCGGACTGACAATAATAATAAGCCAGACACAAAGACCGTCCATCACGCCGCCGCCCTGAGCCGTAACGCCCTAAGCCCTAAACCTCGAGCCCTCAACCCTAAAGCCTAAACCCTAAAGCCCTGAGCCCTGAGCCCTGAACCTCTAAACCCTAAAGCCCTGGTCCCTTCGGTTCGGTACTATTGTAGTCTTGGCTCCCAATACAGTTCTACTCCCCCCTAATGCTTTTTACCTTCAACCGTGGGCCCGAAAAGCCAAAATTTCGAGGGCCGGGAGTTT